TGTATAGTTAAATAAAATGAATAAATGGATCAAAATACTGAGAGGGAAAGGACAATTAATATAAATTATAGGTATATGAAAATATTTTATTTAATGTTTACAATAGGAAGATGATTGACGAAATGGAAAGAGATTATTATTAAATCAAGAACGGAATAGAACTTTAAGAAAATATTATAAAATCAAAAAATTTAGGAAAACTAAAAGCTTGCATCAAAGATGTAAATTATATTAAAAGATACTATGATATGATTAATGAATTTTCTTAAATGTTTATGCGATAAATTATATTTATTCATATATAAATAATTTTAAAGTTAATTATTAAGCCATAATGATTAAATGGTTAATTGTTATCCAAAGAAATATAAGTTTATAACTTATTAAAATCATTTTTTTACAAAATTTACTCATTTAATATTTCAAAATCAAATTTATTTCTTGATTAAATCGTTAATTTCAATATTAAAATTCAAATCTTATATGTAAAATTAATAAAATTAGACAAATTTAAAATTAATGTTGCCAAATATAAAAATGAATAACTTGGTGAAAGGAAAGAAGGTATTATTTATAAGAGACAAAAACCTTAAATAATGAAAGTGTTATTTATTTTATGTTTTAGTTTTTATTCAATAATAAAAGAAATATAAATATATTTTTTGTGAATTAATCATTTACAATCTTGAAGTTTATAGTTTAAAACAAGATAAATCATGTTTTCGAGAAATTATTTATGATAATTTTGTAATCCATAATCTATTGTATTAATTTAATCTATTGATTAACTTCTTTTTTTTTATTTTTCTATTTAAAGATTAGGAGATTGTATTGATAGCATCATAGTTGATTCTGTAGATTTAAATAATTTTAATGGCTTTAGGATTAATTTATTAGATTTTGTTGGATTTAAAAGTTAAACTGGACTTTCTAAAGCATCTTCAGGAATTACATCAATAATTTCTTGGAATTGATTAATTTCATTCTATTCATTTAAGAAACTATTTCTACGCATTCTTTTTAATTTTCTATTATTTCTATAACAATTATTATTAATAGTTGTTGTTCTATTAAAAGCTAAATTATTATTTTTTGGAGATGTTAGCCTTGATAATTTTTATTGATGATGATTTTATTCTATTTTTTCTATTGTTTAAGATAATTCATCCTATTTTTATTATTATTTAATTTTTGTTAAATCTAAAATAAGTTTTGAAAATTTATTTGTAGATTCTTTTTATGATTACTATGAAGATCTTTTTTCTTATTTATTTTATAAGATTTTAACAAATTTACTTTTTAATTTATTTTTTTTTTCTTATTCTTTTAATTATCTAACAGTTTCAGCATATATTTCTGCATTATAATTTTATAATCTTGCAATTGATCTTAAATTAGAATATGGAATAAAATTAGTATACTCTTTTATTGAATCTGTTTTAAATGAATCTTTAATTCTAAGAGTAGTTAATTTATTTTTTTTAAAAGAATTTAAATATTTTTCAAGAGTATAAAGATCAGATGTTATTTATTGAAAAGCTTTTTGATTTTTATTAAAATTTGTAAATGTTCTTGTTTTTTTACGTAATCTCCTTTTAGAATTTATCATTAATTTGATTTAATAATTATATTTCTCAATAATATTAATTCTATCATATTTATTGATTACATAATGAGTATTAGGGCAATATTTAGCAGTATGATTATCTCCTGAACATACAAAACATTAAATATTTAAATCTGTTAATTTTTATTCAAATTCAATATTAAATTTTAATTAAAAAAATTGCTCTAAATCTTCTCTTTCACATAATTCAATAAAATGTTTTCTTGATAATCGAAAAATATTTATAAAATTTCTAGCTTTTACTGATGCACATCTAGGAACATTAGCAAAAAATGATATTTCTCCAAAATATTATTTTTTTGTTAATTCATGGATATCAATTATTCCTTTTGTTTTTGGTAAACATATTGATACTCTTCCATTAAGAATAAAATAAATTGATGTAGAATCATTTATAGGATCGTCATGCTTAATTATCCAATCTTCTGGATTATATACTAATATTTTGTTTTTTAATACTTTCTTCTTAAAAAATGAAAGCTAATTTCTTTAATAAAAGTGATGAAAAATTTTTTCTTAAGAATTTAATTTAGCTCATCATATTACCATGTACCAACTAAGTAACTTAATTTCTTAAAGGCAATGATAGTTTTTCCAATGTATTATTTGCATATCCTTTCTGCAATTATTCATCCTCGATTAACCATTCTGAATAATTCTTAATTCTGGCTTAAAGAGATTTATGAATACATTTTTGTTTTAAATATCTAATATAAATTAAAAGTTTTAACTTTTTGACAGAATCATTTTAATTGAGTAATTCTTCTAGAGATTCGTTTGTATTCTAAAATAATAAGACAATAGAATTCATGACATATCCAAATACTCCAGAAGCTAAAATCATCACAAATACACCAAAAGATCTTTCAATAGTATTTTTTGGTGAAATGTCTCCATAACCAATAGTGATCATTGTTGTTATGCTTTATTTCTTATATAATTTGAGATATACCTAAAATAAATTCCAGCTACATATTAATTAAACCAATAATTAGGATCATTATCCAATTTTTGATAGTAATTAACAACATATTAGGAATACCAATCTTATTAATTTGGTTAAAACAATCTGATGGCATTCCAAATGCATGCTAACCAATGCGATAAACACAAAATTATAAGACAAATCTTTAAGAATTATATAAATGAGGTTATAGATTTATCTAAAGATAAGGAATCTTCAATTTAATTAATAATCTTTTTAAGTTTAAGTGCCCTCATCAATCGGATAACTTTAACAAATCTTAGAACCCTCATTATTTTAATTATTTAAGTATTTCTTTATATTTCTTATTAATTGTCTTCTTCAATAGTTAAGGATATTATTGCATCATAAGGAAATGAAGATATCAAATCTAACCAAAACCATAACTTTAAATAGTTTAAAGCAATCATTCTTCTTTGACTGATATAATTACCTCTATAATAATTTATATTATTTACTTGTTATAGTAACCTGTTTAAAATTGTAATACAATATCAACAATAAAATAACAATCCATAATATTGTCAAATATACTAAAACCATCATCTAGATCTAAACTAAATGTAAGAATTAAAGGAATCAATATCATTTATATGAAAATGAATCCCATTCCAACTAAGTCCCAAAAGATCTTTTTAGGTTCTTCTGGTGCAATTACTTGAAATATTCTAAACAAGTTCCAATTATTATTTTAGTTTTCATTTTCATCTAATTTCTCTAGTTATTCTGGATCAATATACTATTATTCTTTTAGTAAAGTGATTTGTGTTTTCTTTTAACTCCAAATCTAAAAATTAAGTAAACCATATGATTAATCACCTTTATATATTTAAGATTTACCTATCATTTATAATGCCTGATCTTAAATTTAATTTTAAATTTCTTTGGTTTGAACAATTAGGCTTTTTATTACATTTTATTTTAATGACATTGTTATTAAAAATTAATTATATTCTTAAACATAATATAAATAATCATCACTACAAAATAACAAAAAATAATATAATACTTATATTCATTAAATCTGAATTTCAAATTATATTCTAACTATTTATTTAATAATAATTACTAATTTTCTTATATAATATATATTTAACTTCTTAAAATATTAATTTTTAAAAAGTGATTTGATAAGAACAACTTTTTACAGAGAATGGTTGATTTGATTTTAAATTGCTAAAATAAAAAAAAAATGAAGAAATTTAATAAAATATTATTGAGTAGATAGATTAGTTTATTTAGAATATAATGAATTTGAATAATATATAATATTTGATAATTAGAATGTTAATTAATATTTTCAATAATATATAATCAATATTAGAGTAATTTTTCACTTTTTATCTCTATTTAGACATCCAAATGCCAAAAAGACTCTATCCATAAAACCCAATTTTTATTCTTATTATTGTTATTACAATTGATGTTAATGCAATAAGATTTCATTTTTATTAGAGATTCTACTGATTCTAGGTTTATTAAATTCATCTTATCTAATTTAATTATCTTCTGAATAATGTTTATAATTGGATGATTATTCTTAAGTTTTAAATTTGGTATAATCTGAAGACAATGGTCTAAGTGTAGATTCTTTTTTTTATATATCGATAGGTTTAGTTGTAGTTTTAAAATTGATTGATGGAATTTATCTAGTAGGGAATTAAGGTTTGTAAACAAAAGTATAAATGTCAATATTAAATGAGGCAGCATGTTTAATCATCCATGGATGTTCAAAGATTTAATCCATAGTTAATCTTTCAGATGGAATATATTTTAAAATTCCTTTGATAAGTGTTATAACTTCATGAGATAGTGTAGGTGCAAAATTAATTGGTTATCCTGATTTAATTTTATTACATAATTCTTCATTATTCTTTCCTCTAAATGGAGCATTCCCATGTAAGAGTTCATATAATAATATACCTAAACTCCAAACATCAAGACTAAAATCATGCGGTTATTTATTTAACATTTCAGGTGCCTATTTATATATATTATTTATTATATTTACCATATATTCATATGTACCACAAAATGTCATTCGTTTCTCTGTCAAACTCTCAGCACTCCAACCAAAATCACAAATTTTTATATTACCTTCATGATCTAACAATAAATTCTCTGGCTATATATTTTTTATTTTATTAATTACTTTTAAATCTCTATGAATCACTCTATTCTTATGTAAATAGTCTATTCCTAAACAAGTTTAAAAAAAATATACGAATGCCTCATTCTCAGGTAACTTTATTCTCTTTTTTATATAATGAAATAGAGATCCATTTTCTAATCCAAATTTCATAAATACCAGCATATTCCAAAACCAAATATACATTTTCTTTATCTTCAAAATAATGATACAGTTTGCAAATGTTAGAATGAAATAGTTTCCTTTGTATCTTTATTTCTCTTTTTAGATTTTCCACTGAACAATATTCAAATACTTGCCTTTTGTTCATCTAATCAAATATTAAACAATATTATTACTATTTTCATTGCATATAATTGTCCATTTGATTTATCTTTAACAAGTTTTACTGATCCATAAGACCCTCTTCCCAATTCTTATTTAGATCCTATTGTTATTATTTCGAATTCTTCAGGTTTCCTTCTAGTACTTACACTAGATGAAGAATCCATAGTATCATTACATGATTTGGCTCGATCAGGTTAGTTTTTCTTACAAATCCCTTTATGATAGATTGGCCTTATGTATAAATATTAAATACTACCAATCAAGATCTCTGCATCTAATACTACAATAATTAGAAGCCATACAAAGAGGACACATAACTTTTGTTAGTTTTGATCTTTGTTCAATTGTAGGCTGTTTAACATTGAACTGGCAAGACTTATAATCACAAAATTTGTTCATATTAATATTGATTATGAAATAGATAATATAATAGGAGATATGAAATAATTATTTAATAATAAAATCATAATTAATCTAATTCAAAAACAACATCATCTCCAGCTGAAATGAACTTCATGTTGTTCTTTTCCATCCAACTTTTGACTACTTTTTCAAATTCCTTTTTGTTATTGATTCTCAATTCGCACATATTTCTATTTTCACAAGCAAAGTTATTAAGGACAATTCTACATCTAACATTCAAACCTTTTCCATATTCAGGAATTTATCCAAATTGTTCCTCAGGATAAAACTAAAAAATAACTATAAAAATAATACTTCTACACTATCTTATTTTAATTTAACAATTTAATCAATGTTCAAATCCTTCAAATCAACTGATTCTAAAAAATGAATGCAACCATATTAATTTGATATCTTAAAATCTCTTACTCTTGTTAATTAATTATCAGACATTTCTGAAATAATTTAAATATTTGGACTTAAATTATAATTATTACATTTAGGTGCTCTAGAATTAATTTTATTTTATTGTTATTATTATTGTTCTTCTGCTTTGATTTGTACAATACTAGATTAAGTAAAATCATCAATTTCCTTTTTATTATTGTTTTTACTATAAATTTATTTATTAAGTGATTATTTATATTATTTTTAATCTTTTTCTTATTTTAATGACATATACCATGGTTTAATTTCTTCTTTTGATTTTTAATTATTTTTAGATTTAATTTTAATTTCTAATGATGGATTTTTGAATCTCAAATTAACATTTCCAACACTAAAAGTAACATCATTTTATTAAGCATATTCACTGAATGTAGGGAATTTCTTTTTAAATTCATCTTCAACTTCTCTTAAATATTCTTATTCATTTTTAATATCAAAATCAAGATTCATATCAATTTATTATTATTAATAGATAGGATATGCTGGATTATATTATGTTTATAAATTAGGAGTTGCTTAAGGAATTGCTTAATTTGGATTATTAGTCCAATTTTATTACATTAAAGCTTATTATTAATTTTAAGGAAATAATCCTTAATTTTATTATTATATAGGTTATTATTATGTTAATAATAATCCTCCTTATTAAAGTGGTGCTGCTGCTCCAAATAATCCTTATTGTTATTATTATTATTATTATTATTAAGTTGTTCCTAATCCTAGTAATCCAGTTGTTTATTATTATTATTATTATTATCCTAATCCAAAACCTAATCCTGTTGTCTATGTATTTTATCCTAATCCTCCTGTTAAACCTCCTCCAAGTGTTCCAGTTCCTAAACCTCCTCCTAATCCTGTACCTAATCCTGTTCCTAAACCTGTACCTAATCCACCTCCTAAACCTGTTCCTAATCCTCCACCTAAACCACCAAATGGACTTGCTGATGTTCCTAAACCTAATCCTGTTTAATTTTATTATGTTTATTATTATTATCCTAATCCTCCTAATCCTCCACCTAATCCTCCACCTAATCCTGTTCCTAAACCTGTTCCTAATCCTCCACCTAATCCTGTACCTAATCCTAATCCTGTTTATTATTATTATCCAAATAATGTTGGCTATGCTGGTGTCTATTAACCAAATAATGTAGATTATTATTATTATTATGGTTATTAAACACCTCCAAATAAACCTCCTTATGTATTCTATTATTAAAATCCTACTTAACCCATTTATTATGATGGTTGTTTCTAATTTCTGTAATACTCTACTCTTGTTTCAGTTCGTGAACTTTAAATATTATTTTAAGATGTATTTATAGAACAAAGTAATCCATCTGCATTTTTATTCAATGCAGGATTACCTGGATAAAATCTAGGAGGAACTGGCGGCTTATTATTATTGTTATTATTCTAAGTTTGAAATAACATTTTTATATATTTAAATTATTTAAATATATTTTTATATTATTTCTCTAAAATATCAATATTTCAGCAATACTTATATATTCTGTATATTTATAAATAAATTCACATATTATATTTTGTTTATATTGCTTTTATCTCTTTCATTATTGTAGTCACTTAAGTTAAATTAGCTATATATATTGGATGATTCGTCTTTGCATATTTATAAAATGCATTATAATATGCCATAAATGTTTATAAGAATTTTTTAAGCAAACTTTTCAATAAATTTGTTCCTTAAAAATGTTTTTCACATTCTAATCTAAATACATCAACTCTCTTATTCCATGATAAATTAACATCCTATTTTATATATATTCGAATATTTATACCTAACTAATATTTTCTATTAATTTCTTATTATCCACTTAATTAACATTCTAAACCTTTTCTATAACTCTAATTTCTGATTATTAATTAGATTCCAAATCAGTTTCATCTTTTGCATATTTTTATATAAAATCCACAAGATTTCCAAATAATTCTTTTAAATATATTTCTATTAATTTCTCACTAAACTTATTTGTCTCTTTCTCTAAAAACAATGTTTCTTCTTAAAATTCTTTTTTCAATGTATTCATTTATGTTGTATTATATGCAGATACTATCATTTCATATACTGATAATGTATAAGTTACTCTATCAACTTCAATCTCAAATTCTGCTCCAGTTCTCTTTATTAAATCAAAATATCTCAATCTTAATTGATTAATTCTACTCACTATCATTTTATTATCCTCAAAATATGCATATAATTTATATAATGACAATGTTAAATCTATATATCTCATTACAAAACTTCGAAATCCATAATATTTCTCCAAAGTCCTATACAATCTCACATTTGTACTCTAAATACTTTAAATGTGAGTATCAAATACTTATTCAAACTTTGGCCATAAAATCATATTGACTTATTCAAAATAAAAATCTAAAACATGAGAATTCTTAGAATGCACATGTTTCTAAAACCTTTCATTTAATAATATGATTAACAAAAATGCATATATATCAAATATACTTACTGTCTATTTCAAATGATCCAATAAAAATTAAATAGTATTCTTAAAAACACCACTAAAAATTAATCTATTCTAATCTGGTTTCAAACTAAAAAAGTCTTAACTAAATCTATCTTCATGCAATACTGTATCAATCAAAACTTTATTAATAGTCTTAAAATATTATTCAATTAATATTTTCTAATTTTTTTAATTCAATTAAGTATGCAATAAAGGTTCTTCATCCATAAATTAAAGAATCTAATCTCTATTCATTAATTAAAATATAGATCTATTCTCAATAGTCAATCCAACAACATTTCTTAAATTTAATTAAGGCCTATAATTCTATTAACTATCAGGCACTATTAGATCATTTCTTAAATAAACATCTATTGTTAATTTATATATCTCTGCAACATATATTTTCATATTACTCAAATATAATTTACTCATTGCATCTGTATAAAGATTACATAATTCTACATATATATCTAAATAATGATCTTTCATAAATTCAGTGAATATCTTATATTTAATCAATTCCTACACTTAATATTATTAAATGTTTATTTTTGGTTTCTTTAATTGATTCAATCTTTCTATCATGAATTCTCTTACTCTTTTACATGCAGTATTTTTTAATTTTATCAATTCTGGTCCTAAATTCTTGACAGCATTAGCATCTGTTAATTCTGTATTTTTCAAATATTCTAATTTGGAACATAAAATTCTTATGTATTCCACATACTATTCATTAATCTCTTTACTGCATATATTATCAATCAATGAAGGATCAAGTACTGCTTAATCTACAAAACTAGATAAAATCTATGACAAAGCCTTTCTGTTTGTTAATGAAGTATTCATTTTTACACTTCTCTCTTGTAATTATGTCATCTCAGATTTTATATCATTCAAATAATCTTTAAAATTAAGTAAAACATTTTCTAACTCTCCTAAAATAGCATCACTTTTCTCTATTTCATTATCTAACTCATACATCTCTTTCTCAACCTTATTTTATATCTCCTATATTTACTTTTAAATAATCATATGCAGCCTCCTTTTCAATTAATTACATTTCCAATTTTACATTATCACACATATGTCTTAAATCCAATGATTAATCCCCTCCATCCATCATTAAATACTTTCCCATTATATATCTACTTGTTATTGGATCCAAATTATGTTCCAAAAAACTTGATAAATTCTGCTATTATTAAGACATTATTATTTATATTTTATTTATATTCTCATCCTTATTTTTTATACAGCTTTTTACTATAAACAAACATATTAACTAAATTAATTATAATTAAGTAGTTGATTACTCAATAAAATTATATTTATATGAATAATTCTTCAATATTAAATTAATCATATTGTAAAACTGAAGGAGATGAATGCATTGGAAGTAGAGCTCTAGATATACTCAAAGAAAAAATTAAAATATTTGATTTAGAAAAAATACCTTAACTTACTCAATTGTAAAGAGAAAGAATGCGTTAATAATAATAATAAAGAAGCAAAACAACTAAATACTAAATTCATTCTAATAGTAAATAACCAACTAGTTATTCTTAATATCGAATTTCAAATAAAAAATAAACAACAAATAAACCAAATGAAATATATTCAAGATAAACAATGGAATCCATTAAAAATATATTGACTATCCATGAAGCTAAATTGTTAGATGTTCCTATCATTAAAATTTCTAGAGAAAAAAAAACAACTAATTAAAATGATTCATTCAATACAATATCTTTAATTTTAATGGAAAAATATTATTAATCCACTCTTAAATATTAAGAAAGATAATCTAAATTTTAATAATTTTAATAACCATCTATCCATATTAATTCAATGACATCTATTGTTAATAATAATTAAGCTGTTAAAAATTATAAAAGAAAATTAAGAAATAGTAGAAGAGACTTAATTAAAGAAATCCCATAATAATTTTAATAATATAAAATTCTTAATCACTCAAGACAATTTAGCTCAGATAAATCACATTTTGATTATTGTCAAACTAATTAAATCAAAAGAAATCATTCTGCACTTTGACATTTTTATTATTATAAATATTAGAAAATATTATTTAATTCCATAAAAAAATTAAAAATTATAAAGTTCTACTATTTCTATTAAAAATTTTTTAATAATTAAAATCATAATTCAATCAGCTATTATATAACCATTTGGAAAAATGAATCAGCGTTTAATAAATGGAAATGTATATGAAAATGTTCGAAAATTGAATTAACATGGTGCTGAAACTGATAATTTTATTGCTAATATTAAAGGAAATGAAAATGAGGAATTTGTGATAAAATAATACAAAACAATAAATGAAGCTGAACTGTTAGCAATTAAAGAGATTAAAAGACTACAAAATGAATAAGAACCAAAATGCTTAAATATAATTAAAATAATAGAACTTTAGGATAATAGAAGAATAAGTTAAGCTAAGGACATTTTAGTATATGTTGTATTAGAAAAGGGTAAAAATAATGTAGAAGAGTTGATTAAATCAATATCATTTACTATACTTTCATAATAATAAAAATTAAATTATTTTGCCTAAGTAAATAAATATATTAAAATAGATGTTATAAGGGGTTAAAGAATTGCATGACATAGGATATTTTCATAGAGACTTAAAACCAGAAAACTTTGTCTATTTTGAAAATTCAAATTAAGAAATCTAAATTAAATTGATAGATTTTGGTTAAGTCAAGTCCAATAATGATAAGCGTAATACCCTTTAAAGGGGTACTTTTAATTACATGGCACCTGAAGTTGGAAATGTAAATGGAAATACAAATTATGATAAGACTGCTGATATTTGGAGTCTTGGAATAATTTGCTATGAAATGTTAACAAAAGCTGATTTTTTAAAAGGTTTTGCAATCTTAAATAATTTTAGATACTAAATCTAAAGATTTCACTAGATAATTGAGCAATTTAACTTAAGAATTAGTAAATGAGAGGATTAAAAATACCAATAATATTGATGATTTTACAAAAAGTTTATTATTATAGATGTTATAAATATAAGGAGATAAAAGAGCTGAATTAAAAAGTTTAATTGACCAAATCATATAAAAAGAAAAAGAAAATTTTTAATCTTAAATTGATAAACTGAAGAAATTTTTTGATTCATTTGAAAAGAACATTAATAAAAAAAATAATAAAATAAATTTTTATACTTAAGCTAAGTTTTAAATTTTCAGGCTAAAGAAAATTCAAGATGATATAAGCGATTACGAAAAAATGATTAAAAATTTTGTAGACTTATAAAAATAAGAAAATATGATTAATTAATATTGGAAGTCCTAACAACTTATTAAATATCAATCGTTTAATAAAAAGATTAAGGAATATTATAGAGATCAGAAAAGACTAGAAAGTTCTATTAAATAAGCTGATAACATTATTGTTTCTATTGATTAAGATTTTTATTAATTTTACAAAGGTAAGATAAATAAACTAATAATGAGTTTAAAAGACAACTAGAAGAAATTTGAAAATCTATCTGATAAATATAAAGAATATTTTAAAATAAACTAAATAATTACTAAAATAGAAATGCATATTAAATAATTAAATGATTTTAATTAATAATTAGATTAAGGAGAAATTAAAAATTATCAATAGTTAGATCAAATAATGGATTAAATAAATCGAGATTAATAAGAATTTGAAAAATTGCATCAAAATTGTATTTAAAAAGTTTTAGTGGATAGAAATGTTGAAGTACTAAATAATATAAGAAAATAAAAATTAACGAATATTGAAGGATAATTAGAAGTCTATAAAGATTAAATGGATAAGTTAAAAATTTAGATAAACAATTTTATTAACAATCAATATTGTGATAATCAATTTACTAAGGATTTAATAAAGAATAAATAAATAAAAATCGATTAAAATATAAGTTAATTTTAAGAATAATTTACAAATTTTAAAGAATTTAATTAATTTACATTAGAAGAAATTAATAATCAAATAAAATAGTTGGAATAATTTGAAGAGAAATTAAAAAAATAACTTGAAGATGAATAAGAACAAGCTAACTAATTATAATAATAAATTTTTAAAATAGGAGCTGACATTAAAAGTAATTAAGTAAAAGAAATTAAAAAATTAACAGAGGAATTATAATAAAAATAGAAGGAATTTACAAATGCACTTTAATCATTTAATATTGCTTAAGAAGAAAATATTCAATAAATAAAACAAATATAAGAGAAAAGAAAAGATTTATATAATCAATTGCTATAAGAAGTAGATACTTTATAGAACTATTCAAAAGTCAATTAATCTAATTAAGAATTATTTGGTGAGGTGTTAAAGGAATTAAAAACTACATAAGGTTCAGTGGAAGATTTTGAAGAGATGGTAATAAAATAACAAAAATACAATTAAGAGAAAACCAAGAAATTAGAATTTGTACTTAAAAATGTAAAAAATAAGCCAAGTGAATTATAATTTAACAATGGAGATAATAATCTAATTTATTAATATGAACAATTAATTTAAAAAGAACAATAAATATAATAAGAAATAAATGACTTAATTTCTTAAGAATAAAATTAACAATTAAATCCAGAAGTTTTTAATCAAATGAAAAATAGAATTGAAAATTTAAAATCTGAAATAGATAATTAAATTTAGTAAATTCCTAAAGATAATGAAATAAAATAATAAGTAAAAAAAGAATTAGAAAATTATAAAAAATTATATGTGCCAGTTAATTATATAATATAGTATCACTTAACAAGATATTGTGAGAGAATCAAAGAAAATGCAGATAAAATGAAAAATAAATAATAAAATGAATAAATGGCAGAATATACTCAGAAAGAGAATGAAGCCTAAGATTTATTAAAGATTTATGAAAATATTTTATTTGATAAGTAAAATAAGTAGATTGATGAAATGGAAAGAGATTATAAGTAAATCTAGGAGCATATTTAAGATTAAGAAAATTTTATAAAATAAAAAAATAACGAAATGCTGGATGCTGCATTAAAAGATATTTAAGAGATTATAAACGAAGAATATTATTATAAGATTCCAGAGTTTACTTAAATGCTAATTTTTCAAAGAATTTTTTAAAAATGAGATTTATAAAATTTTTTAAATTAAATTAAAATATATTTTTAATGAAATGATTAAATGCCATTTTTAGAATATCTATTAAAAAATAATATAAAATTATATAAAATTTAATAATTTAACTACGCTAATCTTAAAATTTGTTGAAAAAAATATGAGAGGACAATTTATTTTTTTTATAAATTTGGTCTAATCCAACTGAATAAACATTAATTTCTTTTTCTTATGAAAGTAGCTGTTTCAAAAGTTCAGGATATGGGAAAATTGTCTTGAAACATCAATTGAGAGTCTCAAAAAGTGAATTAGTACGATTAAGTATATGTGGAATTGGAAAAAATGAAAAATAAGTCAAGTCGAAAATGATTATTTAACTTTTAATTATTTCACTTTCAATTATGTAGAAAGAAAAAACAAAATCTCATTTTTATATATGCTGACCAAAAGCAATTATCTTAATTAAAAAATTTATTGTTTATAAAATATGAATAAATTTATCTAATCATTTCCGATCTTCCATTACCCATTATATTCCATATAAAATTTCTTTTGTACAAAATTAATTTGTATATGTACTCTAATAAATTGCAAAAAAGAAGAAGTATGAAGATTTTACAAGTTGCTATAATTCTATTAAATATAACCTCAAAAAATTAAAAATCATTAATAAAAATACATTTGAAAATCTTTATGAAATTTACTTAAATGATTTGAAAGCATTCTATTTTAAAATGAAAAAAGAACAATCTTAAATCAAAATCAAGATATGTTGAAATTTTTACTTATTATTTTAATGAAGATGAAAAAATTTCATAATGCATGGACATTCTAGGATCTAAATCAAACAAATTAACTTACATTCCAACCATGCCAACACTACTAAAATTAACTGATATTGAATGCATATAATTACAATCCTTAGTGTCTTAATAGCCAATTAAAATCTTAAGTCATCTTTTTTAATTTTTTGAAATTATATAGATATGACAACTAAACTAACTGACTTTTCAAAATCTTACAAATCAATTAATAGACCAAAATGATTTAAAATTTTAAAAACAAAACTAACCCTCTTCTTAATTGCTACAATTTTTTTGTAATTTTTAAACTTTATTCATTTTCCTTCTTTATTTATGTAACTTAATTAGATTGACCTATTTTGGTAAAGAAATATTATTACTTAAATTCTTGAAAAATATTTTTGTTAACTTTTTCGAGATAAATTAAACTCATCAATTGTAAACAACATGTGGTTGTGAAAAATCAAAATTTTTGATCATCAAGGCAATTATTTTGTAAATTTATGTAAAAAAAAAAATGAACTCGTTTAACCAATTTTTAAATAATTTGTAGAAATTATAATAAATTATGAGAAAATATTATTAAAAATAATAATAAAATGTTATTTAATTTATTTTGATAATTATATTTTTACAAAAATAATAATCAAAGTACTTTAGAGCTTGAACTACCTTATAATTCGAAATATAGGTCGTACGGGCATTTCAGACTGGGTTAGCAAAAAATCAAATAATTTTATATATTTTTTTAAAAGAGAAACAAAGAAAACTATAAATAGAAGAGAAGGAAGATCTAGTAATGGAATAAATAGATCAAAAAAAAGAATAAAGACCAAGAAATAGGACATATAATCGAGGAAGATTTTAATGTTACAACTTGAATGAAATACACATAATTTGGTATCTGGTTATAGATACTAACATATAAGTAGCAAAGGCTGAGAAGGAATGGAAATATTTATAAAAAAGGATTTTATAAATGACACTAATCACAATTATAATAAAAATAATAATTAATAACAATTAATAACAAATCAAATTACTAATTTTCATCATTTTTTTCTAAATATAAAATCTCCAGCAAGTTCAAGTAAAATTTTTATTTTTATCTGAAATCATCTTTGCAAATTTATATCATATTCTTTTTCTAATACTTAATTAATCTCCTCTATTAATTGAGTATTATGGTAATTTTTGAATGATCATAAGAAAACTATAGGTTATGTATTGGACAGTATCTTATAGGTAATAAAAATGCTTAACAAATATTTTANATCAATTAATAGACCAAAATGATTTAAAATTTTAAAAACAAAACTAACCCTCTTCTTAATTGCTACAATTTTTTTGTAATTTTTAAACTTTATTCATTTTCCTTCTTTATTTATGTAACTTAATTAGATTGACCTATTTTGGTAAAGAAATATTATTACTTAAATTCTTGAAAAATATTTTTGTTAACTTTTTCGAGATAAATTAAACTCATCAATTGTAAACAACATGTGGTTGTGAAAAATCAAAATTTTTGATCATCAAGGCAATTATTTTGTAAATTTATGTAAAAAAAAAAATGAACTCGTTTAACCAATTTTTAAATAATTTGTAGAAATTATAATAAATTATGAGAAAATATTATTAAAAATAATAATAAAATGTTATTTAATTTATTTTGATAATTATATTTTTACAAAAATAATAATCAAAGTACTTTAGAGCTTGAACTACCTTATAATTCGAAATATAGGTCGTACGGGCATTTCAGACTGGGTTAGCAAAAAATCAAATAATTTTATATATTTTTTTAAAAGAGAAACAAAGAAAACTATAAATAGAAGAGAAGGAAGATCTAGTAATGGAATAAATAGATCAAAAAAAAGAATAAAGACCAAGAAATAGGACATATAATCGAGGAAGATTTTAATGTTACAACTTGAATGAAATACACATAATTTGGTATCTGGTTATAGATACTAACATATAAGTAGCAAAGGCTGAGAAGGAATGGAAATATTTATAAAAAAGGATTTTATAAATGACACTAATCACAATTATAATAAAAATAATAATTAATAACAATTAATAACAAATCAAATTACTAATTTTCATCATTTTTTTCTAAATATAAAATCTCCAGCAAGTTCAAGTAAAATTTTTATTTTTATCTGAAATCATCTTTGCAAATTTATATCATATTCTTTTTCTAATACTTAATTAATCTCCTCTATTAATTGAGTATTATGGTAATTTTTGAATGATCATAAGAAAACTATAGGTTATGTATTGGACAGTATCTTATAGGTAATAAAAATGCTTAACAAATATTTTAAGAGATATTAATCTTAATTTTTTTCTATTATAAGTTATATTATTGAGATGATTCAGGATTAAAGCATTTTATTAGCAATTTTTGAATTCCCCATTCTGGGATTGTACATAATTATTCAAAAGTTAAGTTGATAGGGTGTTATTTTAGGTAGTTGTAACCATCGTTTGATAGATTAATTAAAAAGTTATTTTATCTATTTTTAAATTGTCTTACTTTACAAGTTTATTATTGATTGAATATAAGAGAAATAAGGTTTAACATAAAGTGTCCATAATAAAAATTAATTACCTATTTAATAATTATTAGAAATTTTTTAAAAATTCTTAATAAGGTATTTCATTCTTTTTTAAATTTATTCTAAGTGAAATTTAATTGATTCGTTGCGATCGATAATTACTCCTAGATATTTATATTACTTTATTATTTGTATATTTAATAAACACTTTTAGGAGGCATTACAATTTTTTCCATCTTTATTTTTATTATTCAACATTTAGATGGATTAATAATTAAATTTAATTATTAAGTTACTTTATATAAGTCGTTTATTAGTTATTCACTATGATTTTCTGAACATATAAAAGCTAAATCATCAGCATAGAGAAAAAGGAATCAACAAATTTTAATATACTTTATGTTTTCAAAGTCTTCATTAATAAATCGGATATTAAATAACAACGATGATAGAATACTGCAATATTAATAATAATAAATAATTAAATAATAAAATCAAAATTAATTTAGACGCTAACAAGATGAGAATAGGATAAGCAGAGGAAAATATAGGAAACATGAATAAAAAGAATATGGTCAAGGTAGTCAGATCACTATTAAGAAAGATTATGGGAAGAATAGTGATTAGTACAAGATTTATCACCAAAAATAATAAAAGGAGAATGAATATATTCGTGAAATGTATTAAATTTTAGTTGATTATTAAACATTAAATGAAGTAGGCTGGAGAATAATAAAATCCCATAATAATTTTAATAATATAAAATTCTTAATTACTCAAGACAATTTAGTCAGATAAATCACATTTTGATTTTTGTCAAACTAATTAAATCAAAAGAAATCATTCTGCACTTTGATATTTTTATTATTACAAATATTATATTTTCAATTGTAAAATCAGATTTTCTATCTAAATATAATTTATATTAAATGCAAATTTCATAACCTTAACTCTAAAAATTGAATAAATCAATATAAGGAAGCATTTCTATAGGTGGTTACCTCTATGAAAATGTTCGAATATTGAATTCAAATGGTACTCAAACTGATAATTTTATTGCTAATATTAAAGGAAATGAAAATGAGGAATTTGTGATAAAATAATACAAAACAATAAATGAAGCTGAACTGTTAGCAATTAAAGAGATTAAAAGACTACAAAATGAATAAGAACCAAAATGCTTAAATATAATTAAAATAATAGAACTTTAGGATAATAGAAGAATAAGTTCATTATAGAAAAACTCATCAATATATGTTGTATTAGAAAAGGGTAAAAATAATGTAGAAGAGTTGATTAAATCAATATCATTTACTATACTTTCATAATAATAAAAATTAAATTATTTTGCCTAAGTAAATAAATATATTAAAATAGATGTTATAAGGGGTTAAAGAATTGCATGACATAGGATATTTTCATAGAGACTTAAAACCAGAAAACTTTGTCTATTTTGAAAATTCAAATTAAGAAATCTAAATTAAATTGATAGATTTTGGTTCAGTTAAAAGAGATTCAGAAATAAATACTACTCTTCAAACTGGTACTTTTAATTACATGGCACCTGAAGTTATAAAAAATAATACAAATTATGATAAGACTGCTGATATTTGGAGTCTTGGAATAATTTGCTATGAAATCGTAACAAAAGCTGATTTTTTAGAAGGTTTTGCAATCTTAAATAATTTTAGGTAATAACTCTAAAGATTTCACGAAATCATTGAGCAAATTAACTTAAGAATTAGTAAATGAGAGGATTAAAAATACCAATAATATTGATGATTTTACAAAAAGTTTATTATTATAGATGTTATAAATATAAGGAGATAAAAGAGCTAAATTAAAAAGTTTAATTGACCAAATCAAATTGAATTAAAAAGTGAATGATATAATTCTGGTTCTAGAGTCTTAAAAAAATACTATAACAATGTTTATATCATACCTAAACTAAAAATTAGAATACATAAATGATATTGATGAAGAAGTTTAAAACAAAAACGAAATGATTTTTTTAATAAATAGAGAACTCGATACATAAAATTAAAAACTCAAGGAAAATGAATAAAAAAAATTATAAATTTGTTAAGATTTTTAATAAGAGCAATATAAAGCGTAGGATTATAAAATAGCTTAAGAAGTAGCATAAGATTTATCAGAACAAAATAATTTTATTAAGTAAATTACAGAATAAGAAATTTTACTTCAAAAGTAAGTTAGTTTAATGGCTCAATTATAATTTTAATAAAATAATATATCAATATTTAGATCAAATCTTGAAGAAAAATTATTAGACCTAAAAAAAATTAACATAGAAAATACGGAGAAAAATGATTTGATGAATCTCATAGATAATGAGCTCTAAAAATAAAATTAAAAACTCGAATAAAATCTTTAGAGAAGATTAGACATTTACCAAGCTTCTTTATTAGAGTAACTTAAAGGTTATGATAATAAAATAGCATTTGAAGTTTCCAACGATTAATAAGAATAATTTAAGTTTATTAATCAAATTTCATAAAAATAAAAATCCCTTGAAAATTAAGTTAGTAATAAATCAATAATTTATTAATAACTAGAAGAGAATCAGTAAATATATGAAGAATAGAAATTAAATAAAGAAAAAGAAAAATTTTACTTTTAATTTACTAACTTACAGAACTATTGTTATTCATTTTAAGGCAATATTTAAAAATATTAATAAAGAATTATGCTTTATAACTTAATTTAATATTAAATGTAAGGGTAAGGGAAACTTAAAAAAATTATAGGGGATTATGATAAAATAATTTAAGAGCTTATCTTTTTACAATAATAAGAACAAAAGATTAATCAGCTTGGGTTATCTTTGTAAATAATTGAATATTAATCTTTTTAAAAAAAATTTTATGAACTTTAAAATGCTTTAGACAGAATTAAAAATTCTATTGATGAAACAAATGAATTCATTGAAGAAATTGATAGCAAATTCATTTATGAATTTAGGATTAAAATATAAGAATTAGCCTATAGTTTAAATAATTATTGGGAAAAATTTTAATATCTATCGAAGAATTAAAAATATAAAAATAAAATAGATTAAGTAATTAGTAAAATAAGGAATTGTTTTAATAAATTAAATAATTTGGATTACTGGTTGACTAAAACAATTTTAAATTATCAATATTTCAATGTAATAATGAATTCAATTAATCAAGATTTATTAGAATTTCACAAATAACATGATTAGTTACATTAATAAATTTATGAAGATAAATAAATTGAATTACAAAATGTTGAAAGGATAAAAAAATTAACGAATATTGAAGGATAATTAAAAGTCTATAAAGATTAAATGGATACGTTAAAAATTTAGATAAACAATTTTATTAACAATCAATATTGTGATAATCAATTTACTAAGGATTTAATAAAGAATGAATAAATAAAAATCGATTAAAATATGAATTAAATTAAAAAATAATTTACAAATTTTAAAGAATTTAATTAATTTACATTAGAGGAAATTAATAATCAAATAAAATAGTTGGAATAATTTGAAGAGAAATTAAAAAAATAACTTGAAGATGAATAAAAACAAGCTAACTAAATATAATTAGAAATTTTAAAAATAGAAGCTGAAAATAAAAGTAAATAAGAAAAAGAATTTTTCCAGTTAACTTATGAATTATAGAAAAAATATAGTCAATCTTCAAAATCACTTTAGTCAGTTAATATTAAATAAGGGAAAGTTCTATATTTAAAAAAAATATAGTAGAAAAGAGAAGGTTTGCTTAATTAATTAAAATAGGAAATAGAAACCTTAAAAAATTATTTGGAAGTGAATTAATCTAATTTGAAATTANTATGCTTTATAACTTAATTTAATATTAAATGTAAGGGTAAGGGAAACTTAAAAAAATTATAGGGGATTATGATAAAATAATTTAAGAGCTTATCTTTTTACAATAATAAGAACAAAAGATTAATCAGCTTGGGTTATCTTTGTAAATAATTGAATATTAATCTTTTTAAAAAAAATTTTATGAACTTTAAAATGCTTTAGACAGAATTAAAAATTCTATTGATGAAACAAATGAATTCATTGAAGAAATTGATAGCAAATTCATTTATGAATTTAGGATTAAAATATAAGAATTAGCCTATAGTTTAAATAATTATTGGGAAAAATTTTAATATCTATCGAAGAATTAAAAATATAAAAATAAAATAGATTAAGTAATTAGTAAAATAAGGAATTGTTTTAATAAATTAAATAATTTGGATTACTGGTTGACTAAAACAATTTTAAATTATCAATATTTCAATGTAATAATGAATTCAATTAATCAAGATTTATTAGAATTTCACAAATAACATGATTAGTTACATTAATAAATTTATGAAGATAAATAAATTGAATTACAAAATGTTGAAAGGATAAAAAAATTAACGAATATTGAAGGATAATTAAAAGTCTATAAAGATTAAATGGATACGTTAAAAATTTAGATAAACAATTTTATTAACAATCAATATTGTGATAATCAATTTACTAAGGATTTAATAAAGAATGAATAAATAAAAATCGATTAAAATATGAATTAAATTAAAAAATAATTTACAAATTTTAAAGAATTTAATTAATTTACATTAGAGGAAATTAATAATCAAATAAAATAGTTGGAATAATTTGAAGAGAAATTAAAAAAATAACTTGAAGATGAATAAAAACAAGCTAACTAAATATAATTAGAAATTTTAAAAATAGAAGCTGAAAATAAAAGTAAATAAGAAAAAGAATTTTTCCAGTTAACTTATGAATTATAGAAAAAATATAGTCAATCTTCAAAATCACTTTAGTCAGTTAATATTAAATAAGGGAAAGTTCTATATTTAAAAAAAATATAGTAGAAAAGAGAAGGTTTGCTTAATTAATTAAAATAGGAAATAGAAACCTTAAAAAATTATTTGGAAGTGAATTAATCTAATTTGAAATTATTTAATTAAAAATTAGAGAAATTATAAAAACATTCTGGGATATGTGGAGAATAAGTAAAATTACTATAAAAATAAAAAAATTCTAGTTTAGATAAAATCTAAAAATTAGAATAAGTATTAAAGAATGTGCAAAATAAACCAAATGAATTATATATTTAAAATATGGATAATAATCTAATTTATTAATATGAAAAATTAAAATAAAAAGAACAACAATTATAATCAAGAATAGATAACATAATTTCCTAATCAAAAAATTCAAGTTTAATTCCATCATAATTTGATTAATTAAAAAAAAAAATTTGTGATTTATCCTCTGAAGTAGATTAGTTAATCGAAGAAATTCCTAATTAGAATCAAATTTAATAATTCAAAAGCTACTATAAAATTAACGTTGAATTATATGAAAAATTATAAGCTTTAGTTAATTATATAATGTAGTATCACTTAACAAGATATTATGAAAGAATTAAAGAAAATGCAGTTAAAATGAAGAATAAATAACAAAATTTTCAGTAAAATAGTTATTTTGTTGCCTTTCAAGATAAATAAAATGAAAAAATGGAATAAAGCACATTAAAAGAGAAGGAAGCATAAGATTTATTAAAGATATACGAAAATATTCTATTTCATAATTATAATAAGAAGATGATTGATGAAATGGAAAAAGATTATGAATAAATCAAGAAGCAAATTGAAAATCAAGAAAATCATATAAAATAACAAGAATTAGTAAAACTAAGGGTTGTAGTAAAAGACAAGTAAGCTATTAAAGAGATCATTAACGAAAAATAATATTATAAGATTAAAGAATTTTCGTAGATGCTAATTTTTGAAATTAGTCTAAATAAAAAGTAATAAGATATATGATTCTTTTATTAATAAAATTTTATTCAAAAACTATATTTTGTTATTGAAGCAATTCTTTCAAAAGTTGAGGAGTCGGACAAAGTTAGAGTAGAGAAACATCAATCTAGAATTTATACTATAGAATATCTCTAAAAAGTGAATTATTATTAAATTTATGCAGAATTCTAAATATGAAAAATAAGATTAATCGAAAATACTTTCACTTTAGATTATTTTACAATAAAAAAGTAAATATAACTTTATAAATATTGATTATCTCATTACAAAAATTATTATTTATAAAATAATCTAAATATCAATAAACTGAAGAAAATATAAGATAGTAAAATAAACTTACCTAAATGTCACCAGGTGCAAATTGTTTCTTATTTACATCGATTAGTTAATCGAAAAATGTAGAGAACATAACAAAAAATTATGATTATTTGTTTAATACTATCATTAATTTTTTATATTATAAATTATGAAAAAATTCCGAATTCTTGTTAAACCTTTTAT